CGTATATAGTACTAGTAGATAATAAGTACCAGTGGGGGAATAAAACAATAAAGTTTTATTTTCTAAGTAATGTACATAGTAATGTTATGTTTAGGTTGTAGATGAGCTTCATAAATCATTTGGGCAGGAAAAACAGCAATGACATCAGCGGCAGCACATTTTTTCTCGATTAACGTTGAGTTTAATGCAGGAGTGGTGGGTTGTATATATACATAAATGTATTTTGCATGTTTCGAAGTTTTTCCCTGCATAGTTTTTAATGGAAGCTTGTATAAATATACTTATTTTCAACAGAAATAGTTAAATAAACACATTCATACATACATTCATACATTGTTTGTTAGTATACTAACAAAACAAAAATCTTTAAATTAGTCACTTACGCATGCACGCGCACATATGTACATAAATATGTCATATAACGGGTGATTTTTTTGAGGTTAGGATTTTCATGCATATACGAATTCAGTTGTATTAGGGTTTTCGTCGTGGGTGCGCATAAAAAAACATGTGAGTACTTAAATTACACTAGATTACTTACACTACATAACTTTACAAAAGAAATATAATTTATTTAAAACAAATCATTTTAAAAACGTTATTTTCAATCAAACTGTAAATTAGTTATAAACTATAATCCAACCTACTTGAGTTAGTAATAGTATTCTTTAAATATCTTGCTAATGCATTATCTCCCTTTTTTATAGCATTCACATTAACTAAGTCTGCTGTCCTTTATTAAACACTCGTTTATTTACTTTACTTCACCTATAGCTGTAATTCTATGTTGTGGCTATTTACTACTACCATATTTCTTTCCTAATCACTCCCATACGAGTGCACTAATGCTACATTTATTTTCCAAAATGTGTTTCAAAATTACCTGTTTAAATTTGTTACTTGTTTAACTATTACCCTTTGCCTGCGCCACACACTTTCTCACTACCATTTCGTTCTATTGCTATATGTGTATTTAAAATCAAGAAGTCCGTAAAAAAATATGCATCAGTACGTAGGCATGCCACTTGCAGTTAATTGTAGCTTAGTTTATCTATTGTATGCCCGACGACGTGTCACTGCCACTACTAGTAGCGACTGCTGCTGATTTTGACGGAGCAACATTTAACGTAGTCAAGGCACCACTACCGCTAAGCACCTTCGCCGTGTCTTCAGACTCCACTACGATTTCTTCTTCTACTGCAGCATCGTCTGTTGCTGTTACAGTTGCTGTGGCAAGCGTTGTTGTTGCTGTTGGCGCTGTGCCATCATTTTCGTCCAGCAAGATTACTTCACTCTCCTTCACCAGTTGCACCTTTGTGGTAGTTGGGCGAGTGACATCTAAAACGTTAACCCTACTTGTTTCATGCTTATGCGTTGCGTGTGTATTATCGTCTTCGATATATTCGACAGCGGTGTTTTCATCAATGTCGGCAACTAAAAATAAAAAAAAATAAAAAAATAAAATTGTGGTTTTTCTCAATTGGCTGATCTGGTAACACTAAAATTTTGCATATACATATGTATGTATTTTTTTTTTCCTTTTTACAAACTCTCACCAATTGTCTCGTCAAATCCTGCATCTGTGTCACATTCAGCGTTAGCCGAATTATTATTTCTGCTTTCGTTGTTTGCATTTGCTACTTTCATTATTCTCTGCCCCTTTTCACTTTCCTGTTGTGTACTTTTGGAGTACTTTTTCTGGCTGCCAACCACAGTCGCTTCATGGTGGTCGTCTTCATCATCGTCAATCACTTCTATAGGTTCATCATCATCTGTGATTACAGTGGCGGTGGCAGTGGTGTTGTTATATATTTTCTGCATGCGTCTCACTTTTAATTTTACCGTATCTCTTGGTTTTGTTGTTGTTGTTAACATTTCACTTTCACTTTCATTACCACTAAAGATTGTGTATGCTTTTTCGGTCATTTCTTGACCCTCTTCGCCGGCTGTATCCTCGCCTGTTTCTCCTTCGTCTATTTCACCGTCGTCGATTGTGCCCTCGGTCTCAGTACCAGCATCAGTATCACCATCCTCCTGCTCTTCTACAATAACATCCTCGAAACTATCATCGATAATAATGGTGTCACCATCAATCGATTCCTTGTCATGCATTTGTTGTTGCTGTTGCTGTTGCTGCTGCTTTTGTGAACTATGCTGTTTGCCAGTATGACTACTTGACTGCCGATGATGTTCTGAGCGTTTGGAGGCTGCTTTTGTTGCTGCTGCAACTGCAGTTGCCTGATCCAATTCCATTTCCCAATCGGTGGCACCCAAAATTATTGTGGACGGTTGCTGTTGCTGTGCACTTTCGACGAGCGATGTTGGCAATACCGTAACTGTATCGCCGATATTATTGCCCATTGTGATATTGGTACCATCGCCACTATCAACTATAATCGGCATATTAAGTATATCAACTGGAGTATCTTCGGTAATCATTTGATTGGCTTCCAATTGTATTGCACTGGCATTGTCGGCAGACACCGATGAGGCTACACTCAACTTGTTGGTAGCATCAATGAAAGTTGTTGTCTTATTTGAAGTACTTGAGCTCAATTGTGCTGGCGACGAACCAATTATTACTAGATTTGGTTTCCCTGCATCTGTGTTCTGGGTGGTTGGCTGCACTTTACTAGCAACAATACCACTACCAACACTCGCACTTTTCGACAATGTTATGGTGCCTGATGTTGTGCGTCCACCAGCCGATGGCACAAATATCATATTGCCTTTATTGCCACTAAAGGTAAGAGTACTTGTTGTTGCGATTGATTTTGGCTGCGACTGGGATTGCGTGTGGGCCGTGTGGAAAGAACCAGTTAAATTGCCAGGCGAATTCAGTGGTGCCGGTATGATTTGCACTTTCTGTATAGCAATACGCTGTGGTTGATTTGTCGCTGACGTGCCTGCACCTGTGTTGCTAGTGCCCACAACTGCGTTGGATAAGAGTTTATGTGAAACAGCGCTTTGTAATTTCCCTTTGGAAGCCGCATCCAAAGTGGCAGGTTGTATGAACACTTTTCCATTTGATGAATGGCATATTTTTACGGGGGTTCGTATGCCAGTCGTTGATATATTCTTTAGTTGATGTTGTAAGAAAGGTGATGTTGTTGTCAATTGTTGCTGCTGTAGACCCGAACTGCTGATGGAAGTGGCATTTGCTGGTGCCAACTTGATGTTGCTTATGATTTGGGGGCCAGAATTGGAAGTAGTAAAGGTGCCAGAAAGCTGAAAGATTAAAAAGCAAAAACAAAAGATATTGAAGAAATGAAGAAATATATGTATGCAAGTACTTCAGTTGCAAAAAAAAACACTTTAGTGGCAAGTTCCTCAATTCTTAAGTAAAACTAAAGCTTTGTAAGCCTTTTTTGTTGTTTCTTATAATTTAGCCCCCAAAAAATAAGCACAAGTCTCAAAAAAATCCCAAAGGTTTCGAGTAATAAAATACGAAAAAGCACAAAAAATTAAAAAACAACCCAAATATACGAATAATCGCGAGAAATCGGAAAGATTTCGAAAAAATGTCAACGGTCCCTAAAAACCGGAAGAATATTGAATGCCCCAAAAAATAAAAATAAATACATGAAGAGGTTCTATATAAATCTATATAAAACACAACAATGCTCGACAGACTTCCGAACAGGAAGAATCCTGTAAAACTCAAGATCCCTATCATATCCAAAAAATAAAACATGAATACCGTAAAAATTTTGCAAGGTTCAGAAAATTACTAAAAAATGCCGATGTGTTTACATACATATGTACATATGTACATCAAACCTGATTTCTAAAACTCAACAGACATGAAAAATTTAACATCAAAAAAATATCTCACTAGCCCATTGTAAATGGAAATCTTTTCTAATTAAAAGCGTATGGCTGCCAATTTACAGTACCAGAATTGCGTTTTCTGGTTAATTTTTACGATCTGTAATGTAAGGCCATATTAGCACTTACCTTTCCGACGCTGCTGGTGTTCACGCCAATTGTGCCCGCTTTGATAATATGTGATTTGCGGAAGATCGGAGTACCCGATGTTAGTGATGAGAACAGTGTACTGCCAGCAGTGCCACTGCTTTGATTGGGTGAGAGCAGTAGTGTTGAGCCCATATTTTTCAACGAAACATTCGAACCACTTCCGCTGCCGGCACTTACAAGGTTGGCACCATTATTGAGCGTTTCAATTTTCGTTATATTGACGGTATTGCCGCCGACGCTTACGCTGCCACCAGCGTTAGCACCACCACCTGCCACCACAGTACCGGCACCACTAAGCACAACTGGCAATATTTTTGTCGTCAACACTTTACCTTGTGCCGGTGTGGGTGTCGATGTTGCTGTTGCAGTACCCTCGTGGGCTATGCTTGCGCTATTTGTGTTTTGAATTTGTATGACTGCCGGAGGCGTATGCGTCGGCACAGTAGGCAAAGTTTGTGAATTAGTCGGATTATTATTGCCTTCAATTAGGCTAAACACCTGTCCGGCGGATGTCGTGTTGCCTTCATTACCATGCGTACCTATACCAGTAGCACTGATAAATGTAGAATTTGTAAACTTTTTTGTGGTAAGCTTGGCGCCGGGTGGTAA